GGAAGGTTCAGGCAGTAGACTGGACAAACACAGACTTAAAAAGTTCATTGCAAGTCTTTTGCAAACTGGCTGCAACATTTTTTGGTTGTTTATGATTTTAGGAGGCAGTTTTATGTCCAGTAATTTGCTATTCTTACTGTCAGATGTGGAGTCAAATAACTAATTGGGCAGTAATGTAGATGTACTAATAAACTACAAACATTCATCAACTGGTGCCTGAATAGAGGGAATTAAATGGTATGATAGAACCACTAAAGTAGAGTTTGGGAGAGAACTAAGCAACACAAGGTTCCAGTGGACCAAGAGGTGAAGAAAAGACTGGCTGAATAAACTTGAGAACAGTATACCTACAATGTATTTGCACTGGGGTTATAGTAACGTTTCTGGTCTAGAAAGTCACTTTCTTTCCCATTCATGCCTCATCGTGACGCAGGGCCTGTCCTATGTTGTGGGGATGTCACGCTTAGTGACCGGCCACCAACATGTAGTATTTTACTTGTTGTTGTCAGCGGCTGGCGATATCGTGTGTTCTATATTCCACGATGTGAGCACTTTTAATGGTCCCAAAACATTTAGAACTGGCCTTAACTCCAACCCCCTACCCCACAGCCTATGTCCCACGAGAGAGTGCAGCCTACGCAGGGCCTGTCCTATGTTGTGGGGATGTCACGCTTAGTGACCGGCCACCAACCCAACATGTAGTATTTTACTTGTTGTTGTCAGCGGCTGGCGATATCGTGTGTTCTATATTCCACGATGTGAGCACTTTTAATGGTCCCAAAACATTTAGAACTGGCCTTAACCCCAACCCCCTACCCCACAGCCTATGTCCCACGAGAGAGTGCAGCCTATGTCCCATGACTATGCAGTGTACATTATAGGTGTGTAGATCCAGGTGAGGTATGTTAAATGTGAATTTTGAATGCTTTCTACCCATTCAGAGTGCAAAGAGCCTGTTGCTATCTTCTGAAGCATGTTCATGGAGTCTGGTACAATTACTGCCAGTGTGGCTGTTTGCTCCGATGCGCATGCTAAAGCTCTAGAAGCATCGGCTGTATCCATGGTGAATGGAATTAAAGGAACTAGAGCAATTAATATGCCAGGAAGGAAATGTTTTTTCTGCAAATCAGATCTGCTGAAGCTGTGCAGGATTGGTGGTAAAGGCTTGTAGAGAAGGGCTTACTACTTCTGTAGTTAGTTAGCTAACATACATGTTATCTATGTATTAGAACTTCTTTGGTTAGTGGATAGGTCTCGCTTTGTCTAAGTACTTTTTCCTTAAATGCTTTGAAAACTAAAAAAAAAAAAAAACTAACTACTTCAACTTGGCTGATAAGTATCCACATGTGAGATGTATCTATATAGGAGTGTGTCTGTGTATGTATAGTATGAGTGAGTATGAAAAAGGTAAGAGTATGTATATGCATATGTATGTCCAAGTGTGTGTGCATGACTGAATCTGTATATGTGCATGATTTAATGTCCTATGTATTAATTTGTATGTATATGTGTGTATGTATGCATGTATGTGTTTACAAGTGCGTATGGGTGTGTGTAAGTGTGTGTGTGTGCGTGGGGAGGGGGGAACTGTGTGAATATTTGAACGTATAGGTTTGCTATCCATGCCTTTGTGTTTTTACTTCACACTCATATTGAATATGAACATAACATGCTTAGTTGATGAAAATACAGTTTATTAAAGATGAATGTTTGGCAGGGTTGAATGGAAGATGGGCCTATGTGCCCAATTTGTGACCCTATAAGAATAAAGTTCATTCATGTGTTCATTCAGTAATTGTATCATAATATCAATTGCTTTCAGCGAAAGTTTCAGTGCTGGAGGAAACACTAGCTGAATGTCAAGCTGAGTTGAGTAAAGCTGTAGCCACCAAACAAAAGTGTCAGGACGAGGCAGATGCCACGGCAGCAGTTATTGAGCTAGCAAACCGATTAGTGGGTGGTCTAGCTTCAGAAAATGTCCGTTGGGCAGAAGCAATTGGTAACTTCCATAAAAATGGGCTGACACTGGCTGGAGATGTATTGCTAATTACTGCTTATATTTCTTATGTCGGTTCATTTACGAAGGTAAGCCCAGCCACAGTAACTGTGCTTATGTTTCTTATTTTGTAAGGAATCGTTAACTCACAGTGTGCATACATATTAGCGTATCAGACCTTTTATACTTTAAGAGAAAGACTCTGACTCAATCAAAGTTCCCTTTACTGAAACACTATTTATTTAATTGAGACCATTAGACAATGAATACTACTTCAGTTTAATTCCTCCTGGATCTCCTTCTCTTGTTTCTTCAGTGAAGTGTCATAGGAAGACAAGTAAAACAAGGACTGCGTGTGTGCATTCTAATATTTCAATTTTCGGTTTCTTATCATCCATCTGGTAATTCTGGTTATCTTAGTTTCAACTTCACAGCAAACGGGTCACTCCGTAGTTGCTCAGTTCCTGTGCCAATGAAAAACACACAGAATGTTTATCACAGTCTCTTGTGGAAAGATTGACAGACTGCTGTCTCAACATATCTAGCATACACATGCATTAAAAGCATGCAGTAGCCATCCGAAGTGCTAACACAAACAGTCCGACATTAGAAATGCAGTTCATCATTGATGGTAGCAGAAGTCACCAAAAGATCAGCAGTTGCACACACAATAAATTTTAATCACATAATGGCATGACCAATATTGCAGCTAAAGGCATCGCGCCATTTTATGAATCTACAATTCACACCACCACGTTGGTCACCGTGAAAAAAAACATTCCAAATGAAATCCGCAGCTCACAGTGTCACACCATGCACTTAACTCAGAAGCTGGGCAACAAAACTGTATCATTTCAGTCTACAAATGGAGCATAATTGCAATGGCCACCGCCTGGCAGAAGAAAAAAATTTGCCACGGCTCAAAACAGTGGTCGTGCCTAGCGCCTATTTTGACTGGAAGTTCTTTCTTATCATCCTTGATATTTGTTGTGTGTTTATGATAATCCTTGCGTTGGTTTCGATAGTGGTATAAAGAAAGCCGACCATCCAGAAAGCAATGGCAAACTACTGGACGTAAATTTGCCTAGAAAAACCACGCAACAGCCAGGGGCTGGTTGGGTTGGTTCTGCAACGTCCTGTAAAGGATACGCAACTAACCAATATTTATGATTATCCTTCTGCGGGTTCCAACACTGCATTTTGGGACTGGGGGGAAGGGGGGGGGGGGTGGTTTACACCTATTGTTTTTCCTCTAAAGTTTGAATGGTTCTGCCTGCAAGGGAGGAACCAACAATCAGCATAGAAATAAACCATATCTGTAAAATGCTTTTGCAGAGAAAACTCATTTAGTTCTTGACCAAGACCAAAGTCCAGAAGTGGATGAACAAACAGAACTTTCCTCTAGAATTTACAGCTGGTGAACACTAACAAGTATTTCTAGTGATAGATATCTTGTAGATTTTAATTCCTGTTTACTAACAGGATTAGCAAATAGCTGATAATTGCACTGAGTGTGATGTTAAAGTTAGTTGTGTTTTCTTTACAGGACGCTGCAGAACCAATCCCCAGCATTTTTTGGTTGTTGTCGTTTTTCTAGGCAGATATTGCTTTCACTAGTTTGTCATTGCTTTCTGAACAGTTAGCTCTCGGTACCAGTGTCTAAACTAAAGCAAGACGATCTGCTGCCAGATGGCCTGTAGTTGGGATGAAATCCAGCGTTCCGGAATGATGAAGCACGTTCACCATGCCTAAACCACAAATGTGATGTCATTTAACAAATATAAATGCAGCTAGTATAGTCCCAAATATTTTAAATTGTGTCAGTTTATTTGTATGTAGGTTAAAAGTCAAAGTTTTAATAGTGTAAATTTTTTTTCTCTGTGGCTTAAATTTAAACATTATTTTTTATGTAAAAGATTCTTTCAATTTTATCAAATCAAGTAGGGTTACGAATAGTGGAATGAAAGAAAAATATTTTTTTTTAGGAAGTGATATTCCTAAGCCGTGTTAAGTAATTATGGCCATCCACAAAGACTTTGAACTCTTTCAATCCCAGAATGTTTTGCTGCAAGTGCTTTTTTGAGTAAATGACCGTCTTTTTCTTCTGCACTCATCATTAAAAGGACAGTTAACACGTTGTTTTGTGGTTTACAGCTAGGCTGTGATATCTGCACCTTTTAGCTCTACACTTTCAGTTTCAGCTAGTTAGTTAGTTAGTTAGTTGGGTTATCATCATTGCACTCCGGACATGTCCTTAGGTGCTCAGATCCTCCCCTCAGTATGAACCCCAACGTCCGATGGCTAATAGTACCAGTTCTATGTTGATTAACAAGTCTTCTGGTGTGCGTCTCGTTTTTTGCTATGACGATCTTAATCCCCAAGTCTGCCATTCTGGCGAGTGATGTGGATTCACTGCAACCAAAGTCCTCTATCCTTCCCATTTCTCTGAGGGCATTGATAATATCAGCATGATCCATAGGCTGACCGTTGGTAGTGATAGCTGATCCAGCCAACCTGTCAGCTCTTTCATTTCCATCGACGCCTGCATGTCCCGGAACAAACAAAAAAAGGTGACGCCACGCACAGTGGACTTCTGTAATGATTCAAGCCATTGTCTTCGCACTGAACATGCCTGAACCCTCCGGATCATACTCATTGAATCACTGAGTATACATACGCGTGTGTATTTTTGTGTTTCAAGCCAGGCAAACGCTTGCGTTACTGCCATTACCTCCATCGTTATGCTGCTGGTTGTCATGGAGAAGGCGCAGTTGGCTTCTTTGACTGTTCTAAACGTGCTGTGAATGCCCATGCGCTTCTTTTTTGGCGTATAATGGATCCGTCTGTATAGATTAGTGCATCTGCTTCGTCTGAATTTTCACTGAGGAGAGCGTTGACCTCTGCATTAACAGCAACAGGATTCTCTTCTCTACATCGCCTGTTGAGTGTGACAATACAGGAAAATGTACAAATAAACGCCTGAGGCACAGGTATCCGTTCTGCACCAGGTATGATGTCGGTTAGGCTGCATATTTGCCTAATAACATCTTCTGCCCGACCTAGCCACGATTTTCCCATCTTCAGTCTGTCGCCCTTTTCACTAAAAAGCACTTGATGCAGTGGGTGTTTCTTATCAGCACATATTTTAAGATATGCCCGAGCCCTCCACATCATGATCCTTTGGTTCATTGCTGGAAAGTTAAGTAGATACCTCATAGCTCCACAGGATGTGTCTCTTGTACATCCCAAAATAATGCGCATGGCTTCATTTTGCACCTTTTCGAGTCGTTCAATCTGGGTAGCACTGACAGTGAGGATGGCCAGAGCGTATTCAATGGAGGAAAGGACCAGACCGTAGAATAGAAGTATTAGTAGTCTTTGCTCGATATTGGAAGCAGCCATAATCCTCATTGCAGATAGACCTTTGCGTGCTTTTGTTATCACATGGTCAACGTGTACCCTGAATGACAAGCTGCGATCGAACCTCACCACGAGAAACGTCATTACGTTGGTTCTGATCAATACATTATCACCCATTTTCACTTCTGGTAAGTCCGACTTGACAATGTGATTGTTCAAAGAGAACCATGACACTGATGCCTTCGAAGGATTGACATAGGCATTTCAACCATCACACCAGGCGGCAATTCGATCGAGTTCTTTGTGTATTGTGCTGGCGATCTCCTGTCTATCATGCCCTCGTCGATAAATCAAAATGTCATCAGCAAATGACAGAGTCCTTCCCTTTCCATGCAACTGCTGCTCAGTGATCATCACCGTATAAACGTTGAATAAGACTGGTGATAGCGGTGATCCCTGTGGCAAGCCTGGGCATATTGTTTGCGGTTCTGAGGACCAGCTACCACATCTTAGTACATTCTTTCTCTGGAACAGGACCGCAGCAATCCAGCGGATCAGAATAGTATTTACTTCTAGTTTAAGCAGTAATTGCATTAAATAATCATATGGTACTTTATTGTAGGCATCTTCTAAGTCCAACACTGCCGCACATGTCTCTTCTTTAATCTGAAATCCCTCGTAAACATCGTAGGCAAAAACTGCAGCATTGAACCATGTCTCTTTATTCAACCTGTACCCTCCAAGTGTTGGTGGGAACTTATCAAGTAGTTCCAAGTAGGTGGTCAATCTTTGTGCAACAATTTTCTCCAAAAGTTTGCCAACAGTATTCTGCATCGAGATGATTCTGTCGCTGCAGATCTTTGGTCTTTATTCGGCTTTGGTAGTGGGAACAAAAAACTATGGAGCCATTCCTCTTGTATCTGGCCACTCTGGATGCTGATATTGAATTCCTTTGCCACGCTTTTCAAATCAGCATTCAACATCATCAGCATGTTGTTGTATCGGATGCCGTCAGGGCCTGGAGCAGTGCTGCGCGATTTCTTGAGGCAAGTTCTTAAGGTATCTGCAGGGATTGTGAAATAAGTACCTAGCACAGTGTTCTCGCACAGCATCAACAGTTTCAACTTAACCCCTATTCTTGCAGCTTCGTCTTTCTGATCAGTTTGCTCCAAGTAGCGCGCAAGAAGGGTTTTTTCCTTTATCAACATCAGTTCTCTGCCATATCAGGTCTGTTCCCTGAAAATCAGGGACACCCCTTGGTCGAGCGGTGCCGTGCATGCTCCATTGAAGGCGCCAGAATGTCACAAGCGAATTCTCGAAGAAAACGCTCTTGCAGAATTTGTTCCATTTCGCTGTCTTAGCTTCCTTCGCAATTAACTTGAAAGCCACTGTCTGCTTGTTGACCTCATCTTTCAGACTGATCAGGCGTTCAGAAAGTGACGGATCAGTTTTCCTTGCCTTTTGCCATGCCTTGACAGCTTTCCTTTTTTCTAGCCATGCCATGTTGACTACTTCATTCCACCATGGTGGCTGGGCCCATCTTTCCCGCCGTCTGCGATCTGCTCTTGTTTTACGTCGTCTGATTTTGCTAATGGCATCTTGCCCTGTATGGTCATATATAAAAGCAGGCACATTGATTACATGGCCTTTGTTGTTGCTCTTCTCCACTAGGAGGACGCAAGGAAAGTGATCACTGTCATGGAAAGTGGCCATTAGAGATGACAAATTTCTTTAGTGTGTTCTGACCAAATATATATGTGGGACACATGTGAGGGTTGGGATTAAAATAAGGCATTTCTTTAGGCATTTCTTGAATGAGTTAAGCTAAACTATGGAGTCTTAAACACAGTATTCTCAAGTTCTAGAGTGCAGTTCAATTTTGTTGTTGTTGAGTCTTGTAGGTTGCTGAAATAGAGGAAGTGTGGTCTTGATGTAGAAATATTAATAGCTGTTAACAAAAGCATGAAACATAGAAAAGTTACCATTGAAACATCAGTTTGCACTCAGTCTAGATTATGTATAATCATACAGCAGGAAATACTTACTAAGAACTGTTTGATTTATTTTACCTCTTAGATTATTGATCATTATCTGAATCCCCATTGGATGTGAGGTTAATTTTACAAATAATCCGGATTGATTCCTAACTTGAAAATACGAGGAATTTAGGAGAGAACAAACTAACAGTAAACATCCACAAGACCTCATCAGCAGACTCAATAAAAAGCAACATACAACAGTTTTCTGTCTACGAACAGGACACTGCAGGCTCAATTAACACATGCATAAAATAAAGATTGTACAATCTCCACAGTACCTGTCAAACAGGACCACAAACACCTGAACACATTCTGCAGACCTGCCCACTCTACCTACCTACAACTTCAAAAAGACACCTGGCCTCAAGAGCAAAGTGTGCAGAACAAGCTATGGGGAACTATGAAGGACCCACTACTGACAAGTGATTTCATAGAGGCACCCCACCTGATGTCTGATCTGTGCATACAGAACCGAAAAAGAAGACCCAGCCTAAAATCGTTTCCAGGAAATATTCTCTGAAGTAAAGGTGGACTGGTCTATAAAAATATGATTCTAGCATAAGCTCAGTGCACTTCTGGCATGAAATGGGTCCTTTCCTTTTTTCACTTCATAACTGTTTGGGTCTCAGACAGCACATGATGTGTGAAACAATGTGCTGTATCCCCTCCTCAGCTTAATTTGTTTACTTATTGCATTTTGCCAGAACACACACAAAAACTCTGGCTTATCAAATGGTCACTACTACTGTTAGTTTGACTTTCCAGGCTCATATTGGACTAATCAGCCACCTTCGTACTCATAATTATTGATCTTTAACTACTTTAATTGAAAAAGGGTCTTCATCATTTGTGATGGACAAACAACACTACTGTTATATTAATGTTTTGAAAGTAATGCTTTGGTGGATTGTAATCACAGATATTTCTTCATTGGCATCTCCTACAAAACCTTCTTCTGGTACTAAAAGAGATAAGTAGGTAAGCAAAGGCCCCTTCTCCAAACCTTCAAGCCTAGTCAGCATAAAGTGCTGGACCTATATTTGTATAGACCAGTTAGCCCACGTGGGTGATTTGGTCAACATCACGCTGGCTGCCTCTGTTTCCATGGACTATACCTGGTACCCATTTAAGGCTGGATTGACCTGGGAGCCAAAGGTGTTTCCTTCCCCCTCCCCCTCCTACCCCCATTTAACTATCTATATGATTCACATGAAGATACAGGAAAAAAAACTCCATTACTTTGAATGTGCTTATTTGAACTTCAGACATCATATAGCCATTTTACCAGCTAAGCCACTTGGGCATGCTTATAATTATAAATGGTGGTGTTATAAAGTGAAATATCATTTCTGTAGCTGTACCGAACTGACCTGCTAGAAAACAAGTGGCTTCCCTTCATGAAGAAACTCAAGTATCCAATTGCTGTCACCGAAGGCCTGGACCCATTGGTCATGCTGGTTGACAGTGCAGTGGTATGACGTCTGTTAAATGCTTGTATTGTCTGTCTCTTGTGATATTGATTTACCCTTTCTGTAACTGCCTTTCATTGTTTATTTTTAAAAAAAGTAGAGCAGTTAGATTTCTGTAGGTCCTAATGAGAAATCTCAGATGTTTGTATTGCATGGCTGCTATTAAAAAAAAAAACGTCTTCTCAACTTAAAATTGAGTATGGCACTGGAAAGTCAGAGCATTATCAATTATTTTATTGCAGTACTTGGTGTATTTAGTATCTGTTTCAGTTTGCACATTTCTGTTTAGATCATTATTGTGACCGTATTTTCTTCTTCTTCTTTGTGTTCACCAGCTGTAAACTCTGGTGGAAAGTTGTGGTTGTTCATCCACTTTTGGACTGCAGCCCTATTCCAGAACCTGAGTGTTGTGTGTGCATCCATTTTACAGATCTAATTTGTATGCAGACTGCTGATTCCTTGCTTCTCACGCACACGCAGATGCACTTCAACTTCGAAGGAAGCTCCCAATTAGTCGACCTTTACGACATGCTTTTGGGTAGGCAGTGGGTCTATTCTCTCTTCCCCCCCCCCCCCAATAAAAGGGCCCTGGAACCCACAAGGGGATGACTGTATTTTATAGTGGTTCAAATGAAAATTGCTAGTTTGAATGTGTGTGATTAAAAGCTTAAGGCTACTTTCCAGATGTGGTGTTGGTATCACTTGGAAATGGTGGGAACCAGCTGTACTTACAAATTGACAAGCACGTTATGGAGAATATAGTAAAGACCTGTTAAAGTCACACAAAAATGTGACATTCCTAAATTTTTATAAATGCTAATAAGAGTAGTGGGACCATCAGTGGCTAGATGAGGGCCTACTGGCCTAAAGGTTTCAATTCAAATCCACACTGTAAGGATTTTTTTATAATTGATGTTGGCCTTCATGAAGATTCATTTTAAAATGGTTTCCAGGAATTGTCCTGAAAAGTAAAGGCAAGTGGTATGATGTTGACAAGACCACCCATCAAAGGCAAGTGCCATGATGTTGACAAGACCACCCATCAAAAGCAAGTGCCATGATGTTGACAAGACCACCCATCAAAGGCAAGTGGCATGATGTTGACAAGACTAAAGACTACCCATCAAAGGCAAGTGGCATGATGTTGACAAGACCACCCATCAAAGGCAAGTGGCATGATGTTGACAAGACTAAAGACTACCCATCAAAGGCAAGTGGCATGATGTTGACAAGACTAAAGACCACCCATCAAAGGCAAGTGGCATGATGTTGACAAGACTAAAGACTACCCATCAAAGGCAAGTGCCATGATGTTGACAAGACCACCCATCAAAGGCAAGTGGCATGATGTTGACAAGACCACCCATCAAAGGCAAGTGGTATGATGTTGACAAGACTAAAGACTACCCATCAAAGGCAAGTGGCATGATGTTGACAAGACCACCCATCAAAGGCAAGTGGCATGATGTTGACAAGACTAAAGACCACCCATCAAAGGCAAGTGCCATGATGTTGACAAGACCACCCATCAAAAGCAAGTGCCATGATGTTGACAAGACTAAAGACCACCCATCAAAGGCAAGTGGCATGATGTGGACAAGACCACCCATCAAAAGCAAGTGCCATGATGTTGACAAGACCACCCATCAAAGGCAAGTGACATGATGTTGACAAGACTAAAGACTACCCATCAAAGGCAAATGGCATGATGTTGACAAGACCACCCATCAAAAGCAAGTGGCATGATGTTGACAAGACTAAAGACTACCCATCAAAAGCAAGTGGCATGATGTTGACAAGACCAAAGACTACCCATCAAAGGCAAGTGACATGATGTTGACAAGACTAAAGACTACCCATCAAAAGCAAGTGCCATGATGTTGACAAGACTAAAGACTACCCATCAAAGGCAAGTGGTATGATGTTGACAAGACTAAAGACTACCCATCAAAGGCAAGTGGTATGATGTTGACAAGACTACCCATCAAAGGCAAGTGGTATGATGTTGACAAGACTAAAGACCACCCATCAAAGGCAAGTGGCATGATGTTGACAAGACCACCCATCAAAGGCAAGTGGCATGATGTTGACAAGACCAAAGACTAGCCATCAAAGTCAAGTGGCATGATGTTGACAAGACCAAAGACTACCCATCAAAGGCAAGTGGCATGATGTTGACAAGACTAAAGACTACCCATCAAAGGCAAGTGGCATGATGTTGACAAGACCAAAGACTACCCACCAAAGGCAAGTGGCATGATGTTGACAAGACTAAAGACCACCCATCAAATGCAAGTGGCATGATGTTGACAAGACTAAAGACTACCCATCAAAAGCAAGTGGTATGATGTTGACAGGACCGCCCATCAAATGTCAATAGGTCTAGAAAAATGTGAGTCAAGCATCATGTCCTAAGATGCCACTGGTATGAGAATGGTCCTTTACTTGTTAATTTACTTCAAAAAAGTACAAGAAGAGTAACACCCTCCCCCCACCCACACACCCCCCCCCCCCCCATATGCTAAAATCAGATGCTCTGTCTCCTCTTAACATCAAGATCCAAATATATAAAATACTGATGAGACTAATTGTGCTACCTGGCTCAGAAACCTGAAGTATTACTAAAAGAGGTTTGAACAGCAGATCAACATCATAACACAAGGGTAGTAACCCATAAGTGCTGTGTTCTACTTCTAACTCAATTACGATTTCCAACTGCCAAGGGATTTGTTAGGTGCGCAGCAATACACAGGGGCATCTGATTTCACTACCCGGAGACCAGGGGAAATTACTAAAGTTCACTTGAAAAAATCCCAGCCTTTACTGAGGCCTGAACCCTGGACCTCTAGCACTCAAGGCGGACACTATGCCCTGAGACCAGGCAGCTTCCTACCACTAAAAGAGACAAAGCCTTATTTTAAACTTTTAAAAACAAAATCTTACATCAGATTGTTGCACCTATCAAAGATGCAAACAGAGGAGAATAGAGAGTGAGAAGCAACAACGAAATTCATAATCTGTCTAAATCGCAGCTAATTACTGGCATCAGGAAGGGTGATAGACTGCGATGACTGGGACATATAGATAAAATGTCAGATAATAGAGGTAAAAAACTTCATACACAAATTAGTTGAATGAGAGTAGACCAGAGACAGACCAAGAAGATAGTGGAGAGGTAGTATACATACCTGAAGACCTACAAACAGTTGGAGCTACCAGATGGAGAAAGAAGGATTTATGTTATATCTGCAGCATTGAACCTCTAGGGAATGCTGCAGAAAAGTGAAGAAGAAAAGCAATGGAAAGAAAATGCTGTGGAAAAATGGAAAACATTTATAAAGCAGGAGGTATATACAGATGTATTAATGCAAACATGTATGGAATTAAGGAGAGCAGTGCAAGACAGACAATAACGAAATAGGACATGAAAGAAGTATGAAAATCATCTCATTGACTGAAATACTTGATCTGGCAATAATTTTTATATAAATGGCTTTTTTGATCATACATGGTTTTCCAGCTTAGACGACATTTATTTTTAAATGGCTACCTGACCTGTATGGAAAGAAATGGCAAACTACTTTTTTAAAGATGCCAAGAATAGTCATGCTTTCACAACTTCCTTGAGACAGATGAAAGTCATAAACTGATTTGAGAAATTAGACAGGGACTTGTTATATGGAGGTATGGGACTGAGAGTTTGGTGACAACTGGAAAGAATGATGGGAAAAGAGCAAGGAAAACCTGGATGGTTTGGCCAAATGGATAGAGTGATACAAGGGCACTGACCTTATCTATGGTTCCAATGATCATATGAGACAGCAAAACGTGACTGCTTATTGGTGGGGCACATGATGATGATGATATAAACAGGGATTTAGTCTTTTTTACTGTCTGTAAATTCAGATTGCCAGTTGGGCCAATGAGGGCCTACCCAGTGACAGAATGTCTATAGAAAATGCCACAATCCTCACCAGTTGTGAACGCTGGCCACTGATGATAGACCCACAGCTACAGGGCTATAAGTGGATCAAGACACGATACGGAAGTAATCTTAGGGTACAGAGTTTGTATTATCCTGATGATTAAATTTAGGTTACATTCATCTCTCTGGTTAGTCTTCTCTTGCCAGTTTGTGACTCCTTGTGTTATCTTGATGATTTCATTTATTTCTGCTGTGTTCATGAGAGAAACTGGTGTGAAAAAGAAAAAAAAATGTGAAAATTTATCTGTTAAGATCTCATCCTAAATGTTTGACATGCACATTGTTTTAACCTACATGCAACTCATCATATGCTGATTACTTTGTTTTTACTAATTCATTTAACACATTCCTTCTCATTCTTCTAATTTTTTTTCTTCTTATCCATATAACACATTCCTTCCTATTGTCATTACATTGTTTTTACTTATCCATATGACCGATTCCTTCCTATTCTGATTACTTTGTATATTACTTATCTATTTAACACATTCCTTCCTATGCTCTTTACTTTGTTACTTTTCAGACCTATATATGTATATATATATATATGCAATTCAGCATACACTTACTGGTTAATTTATCTGTTCATCACATTCATTGCTTAAGAAAACCTAAAGTTATTCATTAGTGTTGGCAGTGCGTGGGTGGGGGAGGGAGGGAGTGAGTGAGTGAGAGAGAGAGACTGGCCTAACACATGGTTTGTCAAACTACTGGCAACTAAGGGATGATCAGTGTACATTGTAAGTGGGTTTACATCAGCTCCCCGTGTGGGTTCAGGGGTCATTTTGTTGCGGGGGAGGGGATTGGGAGAACTGACCCATTGCCCCCCCGCCTTTTCCAAGGATGTCATAAAAGTCTGCTAATTTGAGGTGTTTCCAGAGTGAATCTGCTTGAGAGGCGAGGAACCAACAGTCTGCATACAATTAAGCCAGATTGGAAAATGAAGTGCCTGCAAAATTCAAGTCATGGAACAAGACCAAAGTCCAGAGGTGGACAAACAGCTAAAACTTTTCCCCAGAGTTTACAGACAGTGAACATAAAGAAAACAGATTACACCAGCCAGTGCCAGATGCAAAACTGTATACCAGATTTTCAAATAGTAGACACTGATATTTAACCATATCAAACATCACAGTGACCTGGACAAAACAGGGAATAAGGGCATGGTAGCAGGTAAGAGAGGCAGAAGCTAACCAGCATGAAAAGGACAGCTGTCACATTGTTGTTGTTGTTTACCACAAAGCTGTTATATTTGCACCTTTTAGCCCAAAACCTTCAGTTTCAGCAAACCCCTAATCAGTCATCTTTTATGACATGCTTAATGGAGTGATGTTTGCAGTTCTTTTTCTCTCAAAAAATGAGGCCTCACAACCCACATGGGGAAGGCCCAGGACATAAAATTTGTCTTGGCAGGAAATTACATGAGATAGGAAAGCCTGTAAGGGACCGTTGTTTTTTCAGGAAGGGAGTGTAATAGGAATGACATTCTGTAAAAAAGCTGCTGTATGTAAATGATGAGACACTGATGAAAACATTGAACAGTTTGTGTGCTAATATTATTTAATAAGGCGACATCATCATCATCATCATCATCATCATCAAGTACTTTGTTGAATGGTGTGGGCAGACCATGCTTCTCAAAACCATGACATTCATTGGTTCAGTTCTGACACCTTTCCAAGCCATGACTCAAGCTGTTGAGAATCTCTTTTTTTTGTTGTTGTTGACTTTCTGAATCTCTTTTTCCATAAATCCCTCTAGTTGTCACAACATTTCTTAGTTTTTCTCTTCTGGTAATGTGACAAAAAATCGGTTACTGCTTGTTTCTGAAGCTGTCTTTGGGACTTGGCTCCTTTGAAAACATCTGGATTACTCATTTTGACAGACAAAGAAATTTCAGCAGTTCCTCTGTAAAACTTCATCTCGGAGGTCTCAGTGAATTTTCTTGGGTTTGTTTACTAATTCACAGTCTGTTATACACAGCCTTGGGTTCAAACTGGTTATGTGTGACATGCAGGAATTCTGTTTCTAGCTATCAGTAACTGGAATTCATTGCAGAAGATGTTCCTTTTTAAGATGTATTTAAGATGCAAATAAGTAGAAATGTCTACAACTTTTCACTGTGGCATTGTTTGGTCAGACGGTGAGGCTTGGAGCTCAAGGCTATTTAGATACCATTGAGAAGGCTGTGGAGACAGGAGAAGTACTTCTGATGGAAAATATTGGTGAAAATGTGGATGCTGTACTGGATCATCTGCTGGGAAGAAACACCATTAAAAAAGGCAGGGCTATAAGAGTGAGTATACTTGTGTTTGAATCTGTTCTTACAGACTGGCTTAAAAACAATATAAAAATAAATCCATGCTGTTCTGTAATTAGGTTATCTTAACTCATCCGGTGTAAAGTTTGAATTTTCTCGGCCCTTCCACAGAGGGTATTTTTTGTTCCAGATTGTTCACAAATTGAAGAAATTTTAGTATCCTTTGGTGAAATTGTTGATTTAAGCTAAAACATGGCATCAAAGAGGTTGGAACATTCCACAGGTGCTCCATCCTCATCTTCAGCAGTCAGCAGTGCGTTCCAGTGCTCCTGATACCAGCCTTTATTCTGAGATTCCCAGATCCACTGGCCGCTCTGTTGCAGCATTCGCTCCACATTGTGATGATCTTGTTATGCTTCCTCAAAGTTCAGTTGTGCTCAAGCGGCCTTGACCACATATAGCTTGTCATGCTTCAGTGCACCACTCAGCGGTGTCCAGCACCAGTTATTGTGTCTGTAGGTTTGTTTCCTAAACATCTACATACTCCAAAAAAAAGATCCAAAAATGACCATCTGTTGGAGATATCTGAAACAATGCTTGCCATTTAGCACAGATCATGCCTCTCTCTACCTTTCTCAACAATTCTCTGTGAAGTATGTTGCAATCTCAAGCCAGCCAAAGGTTGCAGTGACTGCCTCCATTTCCATTCTTGAGCTAGATGTTGTGGTATCACATGCTAGGATTTGTTGCGCTAAGTGACGTTCATTCTCTTTTACTGTGAAGCCTCTTTCACTTCTTATGCCTCTCAACAGAGAGTCATCAGTATAGATAATTGCCTCACTTCAATGGGAAATGTCCTGAATCAGCTGCCAAATTTCTTATTCTGCAGTGCCTGTTGGCCAATACCTGCACTTTCAGCCCAGTGTGAACCCTGAACAAGTATAATTGTTGCTTGGAAATTGTGACCCACTCTTTTTCTCAGCCAGTGTTATCAAGCATGCACATGTTTCTAATAGTCTGTTCTGCTTGCCCCATCCAACAACTTCATATTTTCAGTCTGTTGCCCTTAGCTTCATGCAGAAGTTTTTTTTTTTTTTTGGCTACTCTGATGTATGACCATGCTTTGAGCCTGTCTGCATTAGTTTTTGTATGTGGCTACTCTGAGGTATGACAATGCTTGTAACACTTTGAGCCTGTCTGCAATAGTTTTTGTGTGTGGCTACTCTGAGGTACGACAAAGCTTGTAACACTTTGAGCCTGTCTGCAATAGTTTTTGTGTGTGGCTACTCTGAGGTATGACCATGCTTGTAACACTTTGAGTCTGTCTGCAATAGTTTTTGTGTGTGGCTACTCTGAGGTATGACCATGCTTGTAACACTTTGAGTCTGTCTGCAATAGTTTTTGTGTGTGGCTACTCTGAGGTATGACAATGCTTGTAACACTTTGAGCCTGTCTGCAATAGTTTTTGTGTGTGGCTACTCTGAGGTATGACAATGCTTGTAACACTTTGAGCCTGTCTGCATTAGTTTTTGTGTGAAAAGTATCGCTTGTGTTTTGGTTTATGCAAATTCTCCAAAAGAATGAGAATTCCGAAAAAAGACAATTTCATTTATTCTTGCATCTGTCCAGATGGTAACTCTTGATAGACAGTTTCTTTTTCTGACCCACTCACACAAACTCTCATGCATGCATGCTTTCACTCTCTCTCTGTCTCTCTCTCTGTCTCTCTGTCTCTCTCTCTCTGTCTCTCTCTCTCTCTCTCTCTCTCTCTCTCTCTCTCTCTCTCTCTCTCTCTCTCACACACACACACACACACACACACAAATACACATGCATGCTGACAATGCACACACTCACTTACTGACACACTAACTACTTCTCAGCTTTTTGGCTCAGATTAAAATGCTGGAATAGTCACAAAACTATCAAACAAAACTACTAAACTAAAAAACAGAACAAAAGCAGGCAGCTTCTCTAGGCTTGGCACCCAAACCACCCTTGGGTCACTGCTTTAGACAATGCTTACTGTAATAGAAAATGTGCACTGTAATTGAAAATGCTTACTGTAATAGAAAATGTGCACTGTAATAGAAAATGTGTACTGCAATAGAAAATGTACCCCGTAATAGAAAACGCACTCTAATTGAAAACCATGCTAAATGAGAAGAATGCCCTGGTACCGACTGCCAAAGAGAGCCATGCTAAATAAAGTATAATGACAACAGCATAAGGGGATGATCATAAAAAAGATGGAACATCAAGAACAACCTTACACAAATGAAGATCAACTTTACAATACATTTTTTTTTTTAAAGCACAAAAAACATTCTTAAATCTCCAAACACTTGATCGGGTAACTAGAGCAAGAGCAGAAGAAGAGTTATTGTTTGA